AAATGTGATTATGATTTCTCTAGGTGTGGATTTTGTTAAATTTATCTTACAAGGAGTTGAGAATTTTAGATGTGTATATCAATGTTTTTCCATTAGAGTTGACAAGTTTTGGCCCTTTTTTCTTAAATATGCTTTCTGTTGCTTTATCTCCCTTTTCTGAGATTCTTACTATGTGTCTTAGTTACTTTTCTCTTTGTTGCTGAGACAAAATATGTGACACTCAGAGTAAAAGGGGAGAAGGTTTATTTACCTCAGTTTGTAGAGGTTTATCCACCCTAGGGCAGGTGTGGCACTCACATTCTTAATCCCAGCTTTGGACCATAAATCAATCATAAATTTTAGATTCAGCTATGTCTGACAAGCCTGCCCCCCAGGACCACAAGAGGCTTTGGGGGGACATCCAGACACAAACCATAATGTTATGCATACATGGTACATTTGATGGTGTCCACATTCTCTGAGTCTCAGTTCATTTTTCTGTACTTTTTTTTCTCTTTTCACTAGGATGGGTAATCTTAACTGACCTATCTCAGACTTAATGATTATTTCTTTAGCTTGCTCAAATCTCTTGTGCCTTCAATAGCATTTTTCATGTGTTACTATGCTTTTTAACTCCAGAATTTATATGTTTTTAAAAATAATTTCCATCTCTTTTTAAAAACTACTTTGTGAAACATCATTTCCATACTTCCCTTTAGTTCTTTAATATTTAAAATATGATAATACCTTGGTTCATGAACCAAGGTTGTAAAAAATTCAATTTGTGTACAGAAGCATTCAGCAAAAATTTGCTTCTGTTCATGAATTCCACACTGGGTGTGGAACAGAACTGCACCTACCTTCCCTGCTTGAACACAAATGCAGCCATTTTCCCCAGAATCATGGAATGAATTAAGTTTGGGAGCTTAACTAAGTTTATGTATCTGATTAAAGTTTTTCTTCAGTATACCCAACATCTGAAGTTCTGTGGGAACTTTTTATTGATTGTTTTTCCAGTGTATGGGTACTATTTTCTTATTTATTAGCATGTCACATTTTCTTTGTTGAAAGCTGGATGTTTTAAGTAATATAATGTGGCAATCCCCACTTCATTTGGTTTTGTTATTGTTTGTTATTGTCATTTGGTTTTGTTAATTATTTGTTTCATGATGTTCAAAAACTAATTTCTGTAGTTTGTATTCTTGGTCATCTCTTACCACTACAGTCTCTGGTCTGCTAGCTTAGAAGTCAGCTAATGATTAGAAAGAGATTCTTATAAACATCTAGAATAAGAGAGTCTCCTGGTCTTTGCTGAAGCTCTGTGTTTGTGTTGGGTCCCACCTACAGTACCCAGCCAGGCAGTTGATAGCTTGGTGTTAGCCTTAATTTCCATTTTGAATAGAGCTGCAATGTTAGCCAGAGATAACAACTTGTTCCTGGTTAGCGTGGGTTCTTCCTTTAGTGATAATGGAAATTAAAACTAAAGTGACAGTATGAATTTACAGGCAAAGATTTAATTGGAAAGTTAAGAGGCAAGAAAGGCAAAGGACTCCAGCCGCAGGGGCACAGTCTGATGAAGAGGATTGAATTAGCCCACCTCCAAAGAACGGAGACAGTTTTCCAGGGTATTGCAGCAGGTGGAGTCCAGGCAGTCATTATCTCCGTCTTAGTTTTGTAGCTCTGGAGGAATCCTCATGGGTTGGGGAACAGTTCCATTCCTAGGAAATCATTGCCTCTATTTGTGGTGATTTTAATCACGTGAGGCTCTGCTGCTTCTGAGCCTCCAGTGACTATCAGTTCAGGACAATGACTGGAGACCTCTAGGTGTCTTTCCAAAGGAAGAGAAAGGGTCAGGAAATGGATGTTATAAAATCTTGTGATCAGATACTCCTGTAAATCTTGAAAATTGCTTTAGTTCCTTTTCATCTTGGTGTCCTCTATCTTGAAGGGAGATGATATAGTCTGGATACGTTGGGGGCAAATAAACTTTCAACTTTTAAACACTCTCTAAATGACTAACAGGCCTATGCGCAGAGCTCAGAAGGATCTGACCCAGAGTTTCACAAAATAAAGGCAGGCTTTATTCTGTTTTCAGTTACTTGTTGGGTATCTGTAGGCCCAAGCAAAGAGTTACAAGTTTTAACCAGAACTGCTTCTTGTGTCCCTGACTGTCTCAGAAGAAAACACAAATTGTGTTTTTAATGACTAACAGATTAAGGGCCCAGGAGTTTGTTTGTCCTTTTTCTCTATAGTTGTCTCTCACTACTCAAACTTAGGGCCCTCTGGGTCTTTTTAACAACTGTATGTTGGAGCTTTCCAAAACCATCTATAGACATCTTATTTCTTATTTTTTCCTTTTGAGCTTTTAGGTTGGCCTATTATTTGTCTCAGCCGTTATCCTCTAGCACAGGCAGCCAGGATGTTGAACAATCACTTTCAACAAATGCCCTGGAGAAAAGTCTGTTCAAACTGAGCCGGCCCCAGCCAGCACAGAGAAAGGCAGGCTTTGAAGTGCAGTGTTCCGGGGAACAAACAGTAGGTTAAATAATGATAATGCCCTGAAAGGGAGCTTCGGAGGAGCTCTAACCCCTCTGTGCTCTCTTTGGTGGGAGCCAGGGTGCTGCTTTTCCAGCATGACTGCAGGCTGTAGGTTTCCCCAAACTCCTGAGCTGTGGAAAAGGGCAAGTTAGAACAGCACACGTTTCTTTATTCTTGTAGATATCCAATCATTTCTCCTGGTAGGCATTCTGCAGACTGCTCCCAACCTTTGGCTATTTTCTCTGTCTCCTTTTTAGTTAGTACCTACGTATTTGTGATACATAATGAAGACATTTAGTGTAGGGAGTTGGTATCTGTACCTCACACATCTTAATCCTTTTTCTTCGCTTTCTCTTTCTACTTCCATCTCTAGGTCCCCTTCCTATCTGTAAAAATACTACCTCCGTGTTTTCTATTATTATCTTTTCTTTTGCTCTTTACGTGATTTATACTTTGGGTTTCTCGTAGAGGAGAAACCTTGCAATATTTAACCTTCTGTGTCTGGTTTATTTCATTTAGATTTATGGTCTCAAGGTGCATTTGTTTTCCTATAAATAACTCAAATGTATCCTTCCTTATGACTGGGTAGTCCTCCACCGTGTATATATACCACATTTTTATGCATTCCTCTGTTTATGGGCACATAGCGAGTCCCTATCTTATGAATGAGTTCCATTCCAGGAGAACGTTTACAAGTTGGATTTATTTCTAAGTCTGACAAAGTGAGTCTTATACACCTTTGACACAGATATACAATGTAAAGCTCAAAAAAAAAAAAAAAACCCAAACACACAAAAAATACTGTAAACAAACTATTTTTACTTTTACAGTTATCTTAACATGGTGGTGTGATACAAGTCTAAATAAACTATTTTTACATTTGCAGTTACCTTACAATGGTGGCACAGTGTAATATAACAACTGGCACATAGAGGGATTGCCTCTGGTGAACTGAGAGAACTAACTGGAGTCGAGGGTAAGTGGGAGACAGCGGAGTGACGTCCGTGATCTTTTTGTCTTGGTCTGAGCAGTCAATTATTTTCACTTTTGTTTCCATTGTTATTGCTTTGTCCTTTCTAGCAGTCCCCTCCACATCACCACTGCTTTTCCTCTTGCTGCTTCTGGATACCCTGGGCTCTCACGGAGCACTGTACAGTATACTCTACAATCTCACACTGTGCAGTAAGCACACAGCAGCACGACTGTGACAGTGTCTGGCAGACACGTGAGCTACTTCTGTGATTTGTTCACATGTACAAATGTCCATAATGCAAAGTCCGTTCTTATTTGTCCACAACTCAGGGACTTATTGTAGGCTGTGTCTAAGATTTAGCTACTAAAAATTTTGCTGTAATAATGAAACAGGCTAATATAATGCATTCTCTTTTATGATGGGCAAAGAATTGCAGGCGTACAGTCCAAATGGCAGTAAAAAAAAGTTACCTTTAGTGGAGGTCATGGGAAGTTGTGCTTAAGACAAGTCCGTACCAACAAAAGATAAAGCAGAGAGAGAAAAGGTGCAGGGGTAACTGAAAAGGCACAGCACATGGCGGCAGCATGTGGATCAAACCAAGCTTTCAGAATTTAAAGGCCAGGGACCTCCACATAGGTGTCTTCCTCTGAATCTCTCAATGTGATTGACAGGAAAGATCAATAGTGCCTGTTTTGTAACAAGGACTCTCAACACACATGCTTATTTCAGAATTCACTCTGATCTTCATTAATGCATGGCACGTAGTGCATATTTATGAACCTTTAGTAAGGTTGAAGTAGGGTGAAGGTAACTGAAGGTTATGGTAGAAGATCCAAACCCATGCACCTGTGTTCTCTCTCAGAGCATCAGCCACCTCCTGAGTCTTTGTTATTGTCCTAGGACAATAGAAGAGAGAGTGCCGTTTTAATTTTAAATGGATGAAAGGAAGTGACTTCTTCAGCTCCATTGTTTGTAATTGTACTACTCCCCTCTGGGAGCTCTGGTCCCTGAAAGTCTTTAAGAGTTATGGAAGGAGGAAGTTCCATGTTCTATAGCTACTTCTGGCTGAATACAGGCATTGGCCTACCTACACTGAGACCAAGGAACCCTTGTTCTGGCTGATCTCAGAGTTCAAGAGGACCGAGTTCTTTTCTTCTGAGAATTTCTTGATGAACCGTGAATGTGGAGGCAGGTTCTGATCGTGAGCTAGGGCCATCACCATAGTCTGACGGCTGTCAAAGAAGAAACAAATTTGCCTAAGAGATTAACTTTGTAAGATCTAAATGCTAAGGTTATGAGAAGTGTTAATCAAGGCCGGGTCCAGGACAGTGACCAAAACACTCAATTCCAGGTATTTCCACAGGATATGCATGACTCAGTTAGTTCTTCACAGATCTTGGAAGGGTGGTCAGGTAGTTTTTTGTGCTGTATCTTTCACTATTTCAGACCTATTGACATAGGAACTATATTCTTCATTTTGTGACAAACATAACCCCTTGTTTCAGTGGTTGGGAGACCTAGTCTCCTATGATGTTGTCTGGTCACTGCTACTACTGAATCTGTTTGGCTTTGAAGGACAGCAATACTCTGGGTGAGTTTACTTTGGGCTGCCTGTCAAGTTCTTAGGTAGCTGCTGCTGATAGGAGAAAGATGTAATTAGCTTTAAATTCACACATAAGCAATCACTGTTTATTATCTCTATTAGAGGTAGTTTTTTAATAACCTGCAAGGCTCCCCAAAGAAACAGAAAAAAGCCAAAAAATGTTATAACTCATGACAGAGACCTTAACTGTAGTAAACAAGGGAGTAGCAGGACTAGCCACACAATTTACTTAGAGGGAGCAAAACATTTTACTTATCTGGTTCAATGGGGTGGTGTGGAGAAGGACATTCTTTAGTTTATCTTTCAATGTATTACCTATATGGGACTTTGGGCCTGACCAAGCCATATGATCGCTTGATTCTGGGGAAAGTTTAGCAAAAGCATTGGTGTAAAAGGACCTGTGTCCCTCTGGAAAGCCCAGGGGCAACACTAGATGCTTTGCTGAGATATGCCTGAAGGATTGATAACATGCTGGCTA